GTCGCCCACCCTCCCACCTACCACCACCCGTCGCCACCATCTACCACTACCCGCCATTCCGCCACCCACCTGCCACCATCGCCCACCACCCGCCGCCACCACCACCACCACCTACTCGCTACCACCAACCACTCGTCACCATCACCCACCCACCACCACCACCACCCACTCGCCACCACCTACCACCCATCGTCACTACTTTCCACCACCATCTTCCGCCACCACTTGCCATTTCTCACTCTTTTTGATATTTTTAAAATTTTTAAAACATTTTGTCAATTACCAAACGCGTTTGTATTTTATGTTTTTCTAAAAATAAACAAAAACCAGTTTATAAAATTTTTGTAAATATAAACTGAAAACGTAAACGTTACCAAATAGACCCTCTGTGTTACCTACTTTTGTGGGAATTGTTCGCGGAAGAGGATGACTGAAGGGACAACCGGCTAGACGTCCGATGGGTCTCACCTCTAACGTTCACGCATAGTAAACTGGTGAAAGCTGACCCAGGTCCTCAGTTTGGTGAAGGATTTGAGATGTTCTCAATTTGATACGGGCTTTGATGAAACCATTAGAGACCAAAAAAGTATACTTTTTTACCAAATTTAAATTTAGTGATAAATTTGGTTAAACGTTGGAGATGGCCTAATTAGTCGAAGTCTATGGATCTGAGTTTGGGCCCAACTGGCGGCCTATTGCCAAGTCTTAGCTGGATTTTTGTATGAAAATACTTTTTGAAAATCAAATCAAATATGAGTTTGTAAAATGGGGGAATTACAATAGTATAAAAGAAAAATTATTAAAAAAATAGTAATAAATTTTATAAATATTAATAATTAAAATCATAATTTTTTTTACTATTTTATAATAATTTTTAAAAAGACCTGTAAGTGGAAAATAATCAGTATTTTTTATTTTAATTTTTTGAATTTAATTTTTTAAAAATTGATTTTTTTATTTTTGGTATTTTTTTTATTTTTAAGTGACTATTTTTAAAATTTTAAATATTTTTTATTTTTTTAGATACACCTTAATTAAATATATCTAAAAAATAAAATATTTTTAAAAAATTAATAAATACATAAGAATATGAAAAATGTATTGAATTCTTATATTTTTTATATTTACGTTGTGTTTGGTTATGAGATTTAGGAAGAAATTTAGAAAAAGAAATAGAAAACATATGTGAAATTATGTGAAATATAAATATATGTTATTCGCAGTTCACTTACTTTTTTCTTTTTTCTTTTCAAATCTTTTCTTAAATTTCCTAACTAAATACATTGTTAGTGATTTTTTTAAAGATTTTTTTTCACAAATATTATAATTTTTGAGTGTATTTATATTAAATATATCTAAAAATCAAAAAAATTAGTAAAAATATTAAAAAATTCAATAAAAATAAAAAAAAATTAATTTTTAAAAAATTGAATCTTGAAAATCTAAACCAAATTGAATAATTTTCCCTTATAAAACCGGAAGAAAAAATAAAATAAAAGACCGTAAATAACTCGCACTCTATATCATCACATAGCATATATATACAGTGACAAAACCCTAAATCTCATTTCTTCCCACTATTGCTGCCGTCGCGTTTCCTCGAGACTGCTCGGCTGAAGCCAAAGCCTCGATTCATCCACCATGAAGGTTCGATCTCCAAACATCACAATCCTTTGATCACTCTTTTCTCTTCATGTTGCTCTCTATCTCTATCCCTAATTCTCTTTCATATGCATATCTAATGTATTTATACCTGTTTTTGCAGTTCAATATCGCCAATCCGACCACTGGCTGCCAGAAGAAGCTTGAAATCGACGATGATCAGAAGCTGTGAGTTTATTTTCCTCGGAAATTTTTGTTATAAATACACGCACATTCAAAGAAGTTTTTTTTTTTTTCCTTCTTGATTTGTTCTTGAAAATGCTTACTTTTTGGTTAATATAGTTGGTGGTAAGAAAATTTGGATACTAGCTTTTACTCCATATGAAACATTCTCGTGGCATAGGAATTTTTGTTGTATGTAGAGTCATAAGAACAGTAATGTTGTAGAGAAACCCAAAATCAAATATCATTGGCAGGGTGTTTCACTTGTTGAAATGTTGGATTTAGGTTTATTGTTCCAAATGGCTGTAGAAAGGTATTGTGGAACTCAACTTCATTGTTGTGTACTCATTGCAATGGTAAAACATAGATTCGGCTTTCAATTACTGATTTTTTTTTCTTTCATACCTTTCTGTCAATTCCCATGTCAGATTTTAAGAATTTAGTTGCTGTTTTTTTCTCTGGGTGAAGACTTGTTTTTAATGTAATTTCAATCCCAAGATGTTTAGGCTGTGTTTGGTTTATTGATTTGGGTAGAGATTTGGAAAGAGAAAGGGGAAAGTTGTGTGAAATATACCTTTTCCCTTTCCAAATTCTTTGCCCAATCCATGAACCAAACACAACCTTAAGGTTTCATTGCATACTGTGATCACTTGCTCAATCCATCTTACAAGCCCTCTGCAAAAGCATGAAGTTCTAAAGTTTTAACTTTTCAACCACACAAACAACCTACTGGCTTGAAATGAGTAGAGTAACCTGTTCACATTTCGTAGTAGCTTTTGAGGTACCTGGGTCACATGAAATGCATGACCTTTTGCTTCTTTTTTTCTAATGTATAGTCATGACGTCCAAACCTACAACTTCTGTATGATGAGGTGCAAGTGAAATTATTGAATATATTTCAATGAAGAAAATGGGTGATAGAAGAAATGAAAGACAAAATGGCATGACATGCTTGTTATTTATTTATTTATTTGTTTCTTTAAAAACTCTTCCCCCAGTTCCCTTATATTCAGATAAAATTTCTTATGTGGCTATAAATTCCTTATTTGTTTGCATGTATTTGGATGTCCTTTAAAAATTTAATGGCCCTTCGCTGTTTTATGCTACTATCTCTAGTGGAAGTATTTTTCTTTTTTGGGTGAATAATCTCTAGTTGAAATACACAATGTTGAAAGGAGGCATTTGATAGAGTGAAATTCATTCAATAAAGAATGGGAATTTTTAACTTGCTTTCTCATAAAGCTTTAAAATGGACTCATGGTTGCTGTTTTTTTTAAAGGCCTCATTTTAGATGACAAATTTTGATCTTCATGTTTCACAGAAGCACAATGGGGCAGTTCATATTCTAGTAATATCAAATGCTTTCCCAGTCTTGCTGGAATCAGGCGGGGAAATCTTTAGGCCTTTGGAGTCAATTTCTTTTCATATTTTAACTTTATTGCAGTTGAACAAATTGACATCTTGATTTTTTAATATCTCATCATCACCACTGTTAGAACATTCACTACTACAAAAAGGGCAAACGAGCCCTAGCCGTTCGCAAAGCAATGTATAGTCCTGTCTATGCACGTATATGTATTCACCACCTTCACCACATCTCCTAAATTTCTTTATTTTTTTATTATTTTATTTTATTTTTATTGGCTGTTGTGTTTCTGGTTCTAGTTCTAGACCCACTTTGATTTGTTTTGTTGTTTTTATGGCCTGTTGTGTTTCTTGTTCTAGACCCACTTTGATTTTGTTTTGTTGTTTTGTTTTTCTATTGGATATTCTGTTGATTCAGTCCTTATGTTGGGTGTGTATTGTAATGTTTGACAAAAAATAGCATAGAAAACATGAACCAGCTTAGATTACCCAAACTTGTAGGAATGGGCCATAATTTAAATGGGGTTTGATTGAAATTTGTAAATTTTTAAAAAGGGAACATGTAAGAGTTTCTGAATTAATTCTGGTTATGTCAAAATTCTGGGAATAGATATTGATTATGGTTGTCTTCATTGCTGCTTGTTACCTTGAACACCTAATGACATTTATATCTGGGCAGAACCTCATTATTTTTCTTCTCTTCTCTTCATTTCCCCCCATTTCTTCTTTTTCCAGCTCACTATTTCAGAATTTTATTTTTTTTTGTTAGGTCATTTTTTCTGCTAATTTTTTTCCTTTTGCTTCCAGGTTCTAGTTTTCTTCTCTTGTCCTTCATATTCTCTGATTTTCTGCTCTGTTTTGCTGATTTTCTGCTTTGGTTTTCTCCTCCCTTCTACTGGTTTGTTGCTATCTTGAAATTGGAACAATTGTTGTGGAGTTCTCATGCATAAAAGTTCCAAATTGAGAATAACAAAGCTTAAAATGAGAAGTAGACCAAGCATAGAAAGTATCTTGAGGGTTATGCAACCTCGTTTTCAGGTTTCAAGAAAAATAGGTCAGTTCCTGCATTTTCGATGTATAACAGAAAGTTACGAAAGAATCACGAACAATGTCAAATTTCAGGTGTCCTTCGACATGAAAACAAACTATTTAAATGACAATTAGTGGTTTTGGAGTTTAGAAATAGATTATAAATGAAGATCACAAACAAATGGAAAACAAAATTTGATGTCAAAGACCCAACTAATGGAGCTTGAAAAGGGGAAAGGGGAAAAAAAATTAATAATAATTTCCTACCATTGATGTTGATGTGATGTGTAGGATTGAGATGTTTACTTTTTTGATATTTGTGGGATTATAGACAGTATGGAACGAGGGAGAGCAAAGAAGTTACAGTTAATGGAGAGAGTTCAATTTGATTTGCTTCAAGTTATGCTCATTGGGATTGTTTTCTATGCTCTCTCAGATTGGTTCATGGTGGTATATTCATGAAGATTTTATCAAAACCGAAAATTTATACTATCACTCTAATTGTGCAGGTTATGCAAAGGGATTATAAACTCAGTTCGTATTCATTGAATTCTGTTTCAGCACGCTTTGTTAATGAGCAGGCAAGGTTTATGTTTTCCTCTCTCTCTCTCTCTAAATTTATTTATTATTTTTTAATTTGTAATATTGAGAGTATGTTCAACATTAGTTTCAGTTCATAATCAGCATTAGAGATTAAAATTATATGTTATTCTAAGCATTATAGTTTGTTAATGTGATGGGCCAAAATTCTTCTTTGTGCTGCATTTCTATTTTCTACAAAGCACATGCCTTATTATATTGATAGAATTTAATTTGCGGGTCATACATTTTGATTTCCATATGTGGTCTTTAGTTGTAATGGAAAAACTAGAATCAGCTCAATCAAGTTCCAGAAATCTAATTCTCAGTGGAATGGTAAATTCATGTTCTCTTATGTCTATTATAATTTATATGTATGTCAATGTTTGGTTTAGAGGTTCAAGTTCACTCAGTAATAAGGATGGGCAAAAGTCGAGTGTGTCGTGTACTTATACATAACCTTGACAAACAAAATTAGCTAAACAGAGAGAAGCACTAATTTAGTAAAAGCACAAAACTTGGATTTATTTTGGTTGTGCTTTGTTTGATATGATGAAATTGGAGAAAAGTAGCAGCCAAGAAGTTGTGAACATGAAGAAACAGATGATGTATTTGAGGTAGATTTATATAATTGTGATATATTCAATGTTTTTCTCTAGGAAGAAGAGTTATACAAGTCTTGGTTAAAAGTTTGCATAGTTTAAGCTAGCACGCACATTTAGGCTTTGGATTATAGATTTGTAGACCTAAGAAAATAAAGGGGAAGAAGCTGAATTTATTTCTTTAATTTCATTTTCAATTCCCTTGATAAATCCAAGATCTGAAATAGCATTAGAATGTTGCTGTTTATAATGTATGCAATTCAGTTTCTATTGTCATGTACATTCACTAATTGATTGTGGTAAAGCAACAGAATTATTTGAAATGTTTGGTTGCTTTCACAATGGTTTTAAAGTAGCACATTGAACAACTACAAGTGAAAATCTACCAGAGGCTAGAGGCATTAACAATTCTAATTGAAATTTTCCAATTCATTCTTTTGCTTCTATGTTCAAGTATTTGGGAAAAAATATAGTCATTTCAATTCTTCATCAGTGTGAGTCACATTCATTCCTGCGCAAGCTAAGATTGGTAATTTATTCGAACAACTGTGACTTACATATTGGAAGTTTGTTATGGAACGATGGATATCTTTTAAGTATGCTCTTGTTCTTGGAAATCATACCTTACAACTATTTGTTATTTGTTGTCAATGTAGAAAACCTTTTTCTTTTCTCCGTTCAATTGGATTTGCAGCCGGTACTTCTGTCTGTGCCAAGTAACAAGTCCTCGCATCCTACATTTTATCTTTGTGCTTGTGCCTTTTTGTGACTTGAATTACATTACTCTCTTTGTTGTTAAGCTTGCTCATCTTTGTTTAAGCACACTATTTGATCACTTAATCTCATATTCATGATGTCTCTACTACTCTCTGCTACAATGTTAAATCTATATACTATGTTATAATGGCAGGGATACGTGGGATCTAATAAGAAAAGAAATAGAGTTCTTCATTCAGTACTGAAGTCCACTATATAGCCATGTTTCATCCACACACAAACTCTCTTATGTACAACAAGGTTGCTTCAAAACAAAAAACCATCTACAAAAAACACTGAAGTTAGATGTGCTTTTCGAATTTCGTTAACACTTCAATTAGGACCCCAATAGCTCAAATACATCACTGTCCAGAGAGATTCCTCAGCTTGTTTGTATCTGTTATCATTGCTATCCTTATCAGCTTTGTTATAGGCCAATTGATTATAAGCACCGACATTTGTTCTCACCTGCTTAGAAGATCCAGAAGGGAAGGCAGAAGTAGAAGCAGAGTCATGACTTGCTTTCATGGCTAAGTCACACTTCGGAGACTTCTCTTTGATTCTCTGCATCACTGGTAAAAACAC